TGCACACGGAAGGAGGTCGTGCGCGAAACTCTTTATCAACGTTCAAACAACGGCGAAGTACGAGCCAGCCCATCGTCTAACGCGAGAAAATGCGACGACGCCTGAGCGCGAAGGAGTTCCATAGGAATTAAAAATTAAAAGTTTTGTCGCCTGGTGTTTGCGTGAAAGGCGACATGCACGAAACGAGAACGTATCGATAGCGGGCGTTAATTGGCCGAAAATTGGCCCGTTACGCAAGGTCGAAGAAGCGAAACGAGCGACTGATAAGATAAACAAAGCGAGGCATGGCACGCGTGCGGCAATCGAACAGGTTCGATTCCGATTGGTCGTAGTTAAAAGAGATAAGGACCGAACGAACGTAAAACGTCAGACGTGACAAGAGGACGAGCAAAAAGCAAAATAGGAGCGAAGCCGGATATTGAGTAAGCGAGACGTTATCAAAATTGAAGCCTAGATCCGGGTAACGAGAAGGTTTCCTGACGACTCGTCGACACGATAGGGCGTGCCCGTTCCTTTTGTTTCTCTCTCTTTCTTTTTTTTTTTTCTTTGATTGACTCGGTGATCGATCGCGGGAACAATATCGCAACCCCCATTGCCCGATTAACCCCAGAGCGGTGGCTGCTCAATCGACGGACACTGTTTTCTTCTCCCTCGAGGCGATCGAACGGTCTTCATTTCCTGATTAACGCGGTAGCCCCCCCTTCTCTCTCTCTCTCTCTCTCTCTCTCTCGTCTATCTCTATCTCCTCGAATATAGAAGAAGAGAGTGCAGCCGGAAGTAATCTGTCTTCCTCTCTGCTCGTGGCGAGGCGCTCTCGCGAAAGGAGAGGATAAGAGAGATAGAGAGGCAGAGAAGGGGAAAGGCGAGAGAGAGAGAGAGAGAGAGATAGACGGAAGGAGAGAAGGACAGAACGAACGTCCGCTCGAATTCACTTGGAGTGATTTAAAGGCTGGAATTATCCTTTTCTCCCCTTCCTCGAGAGGTATCCTCCTCCTCCTCTCAACCATTATACATCTTCTGTTGCGTGCCTCCCTCGATTCTTTTATATCGCAACGCGGATGATCCTCCTTCTCCTCCGTCTTCCCTCTTAACCGTGTGTTTCTGCATGATCGCGTATAGTACACGCGGGGGAAGGGGGAGAAATTCCTTTTCCTTCCTTTTTTTCTCTCTCACTCTCTCTCTCCTTATCATCAACTGATTTGTATCTGCTTTTGCAGCAATCAGAGTGGCCCGGTAGTCTCGTAATTTCACATCGTCCGATATATCACTCCGACTTATCTTTAGCCGATACATCGACAAAAAAGAAAGAAAACACGTTTCTTTCGTCGTTGAGGCCGTGACACCTGTGTCTCTTTTTTATCAAGTGAAATATTTAATAAGCCGTCCCGCTGTTTTGCGTCAGGTCGGCCCTCCCGCAACTCCGCGATGAACTTTTAATTAACCGTAGACGGATATTGGGTCGCTCGATATATCTCTTTGACATAAAATCACGTTCATATCCCTTCTTCGGCGGCTATCCACGCTATCGCCGGCAGAGCCAGGAGTCCGAGTTGTCGTAGGAGTTGAAATTTATAATTCGTCGATCGAGCGGCTACCTGCCACGTGAAAGGTTTCGAAAGTTTTTCCGGGTGCCGTGGAAAAAAACGGAGGAAAGACCGCAAAAGCCAACGAGCTGGCCAACGGTAGCACAACGAAAGTAAACTTTATAGTGCCTGCGGCGGCCGAACCTCTTTCTTCTTTTTTCCTCTCGGCCCTTTGCAACCTTCCGTTCCCCTTTTCCTGCCGTCCCTTTTCCAAAGAACATCCACAGGCCATACAAGACGTTGCAAAGGAAAGCGCAAGACTTTCACCAATGTATCTACATAGATATGTGCATCATTCTATTGTATATTCATTATGTTTGAGATATCTCAATAACAGCGAAACACATTCAGACACAACAACTGTCGATACTCATGCAGATTTATATTTTAAATGGCAACTAAGTGAATGCAATTTAAACAGAGATCGGTTTTCTCCAATTTGAATATTTTGTATATTTTGTATATTTTCGTATATTCCCGTGTATTCTTTTAAACTTTCCATAAATGCACAAATATCCACAGTCTAGTTGTCTGGGGTTCCTCCAGTTTTACACGACTGGAATAAATTAACGTTGCTTAATTAAAGCTCACGTGATTTAATCAACAACTTTGCTCTGCGTGATTTGATTTTTGACGCGATTTAATCCAAGACAGTATTTCTTCGAAAATCTTTGCGAAGAATAAATGAAAATTCCCTTTTTTGAGCGTTTGTAAGACTTCTCTCTATTTCGTCTTTTTTTTTTTCGTTGAAACAAACCTGAACGCCTTTTTTCGGCCAGTGGGAGGAAAAAATGGACAGAAAAAGCGCGGACTTTTTAGCTGACGGACTAACAACGAACGCGTTGCTTCTTTTTTCACTGCGTTTCCTTCTTTTTATCGTATTCGAAGACGTACGAGCTAATCGTCTATGGTTCCCAAGAACTATCCACAGTTTACTGTTATTCCCTTTTTCTTTCGCATTTTCCTAGAACTCTGAACTATTTTTTATTTCGGTAGGAAAATAAATTGTTGGGCACGGAGCCAGCGAAAGTTGAAAAATCGTCTGATTCGTGGTGAAACCCCGAAGGGCACGCGTCGGTCTCTTCATTTCCTCTGAACTGTGACGAAAATGAAAAATGAGACAATATTTTCGAAAGCTCTACTTTCTCCTCGACTTTGAGAACTCCAGCACTCTTCTGCTTTTCCTGCCATTAAAATCTGGCGGAAAAAGAGGACGAAAAACTCTTTGGTCTGGCATCCTCCAAAGGGTCGAAAGTATGTTTTCCCTAATTTCCCGGCTCTACTGAATTGCACCCTGCAGTTTACTTAAAAAGAAAAAAAAAAAAAATACCTTCTTACTGCTAAGAATCTTCTTCCCAATTTTCCAAAAACGAAATAGTAAACACATCAATTTGTTCCCCGCCCGTTACGTCTTGCGTAATCAATAAAAATAGAAAAGAAAAGAATATGTCGTTGTAAGTTGCGATACGAAACGTGGCAAGACAGAACGAACCTATGAGGAAGACGATGTGGCGATAGAGCAAGAGCAGCGATACGAGAGATTAATTTCGTTGGGGTTGGGGCAGGTCACATGGTATTATCTCGTTTCGGCGGCACGGAACAGCGAGATCTTGGGAAACGAAAGCGCGATAACCAGCGAAGGGGAATTGCAAAATTATTTCAAGAGTCGAAATATCATGGCGGGAGGTTTACCGTCACCCAAGCCCCCGTCATCAAACGACCTTCGCGGGTTCGCTTGCGTAATATTTTTATCGGCCGAAATTACACGCACGCACGCACGCATGCACACATACATTCTCTCTCTCTCTCTCTTTCTCTTTCTCTCACCGAGTCCGACAACTACCGAGCACGTATTTTCGGTCGAGCGTGAATATGTACGCCACGCATTCTCCGCCTTCTTTCTTTTCTTCTTTTTCACTCTTTTTCGCTTTCGCGTTTCATATTTATGCACTGACCGTCGGAGGAGATATGCCTGGCTCGTAAAATCGGTCAGGTGCCGAAAAGTGATGCAGAGTAATTCGAAACACGTAGAGGGGGACCATCGGCTCGCGTGAATTCGCAATTGCCCTTTTATCATAGCGTCGAGCAGATTTTAGAAATATACAACGCGTTATTTTACATGCAGCGCGCATGAGACTCTCGAGTGGTAAGTGCAAGGACACCTATCGATGGTGCAAATTAATTGTTCCCCCGCTCTATTCTTTTTTTTTTTAAATTATTTGATTATAAATCTATTGTCCAGATGTGTCCTATACAACGTAAAATATTAAACAAAGTTTTCTAACAAGTAGCGTCCTAATATTTGTGTCCGTGATAATGTATAGTGTCACTGCAATTCAAACGTTTTAGCATCTTTCCATTTTTCTAAGAAACGTTTGGAATTTCTCTTAGCAAAGTAAAATTTGTAGTGTACAACGCTTGTAATATACAACGTTTAATAACTTCAATTCCCCTCGAATTCGAAATAGAAATTAATAATAGTACGTTTCAATGTAGTATGTTATCGCTACTTCAGAAATAAATTTCGCGATCCAACATTCAAGATATTTTTACAACACGCAACTTCGTCAATCTGTATCACGCAGATTAAAACTTCAACTTCAGTGTATTTTTTTCCACCGATACATCCAAATGTGTGTGTCTGTGTCTGTGATCTTTCGATCATGTGTACGCCTACGTATTGATAAGATTTCGCGGTGAAAAGAGGGAGGGAGAGGAGCACGACTTTAAAGAGGGCTTGAATTCGACTGCGAATGCCATTTATTGGTCGAAAGAATCGCACTTCCTGGTTCCTGAGTGTTTCATCGACGTTTTGTTAGATAACATCGTTGACAGCTGCGATCGTTGCGATTATTGAATCGAGAATGCTGACATTATCGACGATTACGCGTGTATCGCGAGGAGACAGGTTTTTCTACAATTGCAAGAGAAATCTTGATACAAGTCGCGTTACGTGTTTCGTAAAAATATGATTGAAAAGAAAAAAAAAAGCTAGCGATTAAAGCGATGGACAATTAAATCATTTGAATGTCACGCTACTGACAAACGAATAAACGGCTTGATACCGAGGCGACTGTATCGATAGTTTCAAAGTCGGCGGCGTAATGGCGGCGGCGAAAAGGCGCGAAATGTGGTAATAATAACCGCATCGACGGACGGTAATACGTTCGTAAGAAATTTATGTATATAGACTTTGACGCATTTGTGATAAACTGTGCAAAATATTCAAACTACATTTTACAATAGTCGATAGATAAATCAATCTTTTATCTATATTCTATCCGAGTTATTCACTTGTATTCATAAAGATACAAATGAATTTGCATAGACATCAACGGTTCGTCGTCATGCTCGTAAAAAAAAAGAAAAAAAAAATTAGAATTTACGCAAACATTCATAGTACAGTGGTAAACTCACGGTATCGTCTCATAAGATTCTTCTTGTACGGTTTGGTACCGGGTGGTCTGGACCTCGATCTCGTGCTACCGTCCTTTTGGTTATTGTCGGAGCACGAGTCGTCCGAATCCTCGGAACAGGTACGATCCTCCCTTTCTTGGGAGTATTCGGTGGACGTGGTGGCGACGAAGCATCCTCGTAACCTGAGCGCTGCCGCGGCGTTCCCGTAGTCGTCGATCGGCTCCTTCCGATCCTGATCCTGATCGTTCTCCTCTCTGGAGAACTCCGCGTAATCTCCAACCCGAACGCTCAAATCCAACGGTTGATCCTCGAGCATCGTTTCAATCTTTGCCAGCCTCGTTCCCTTGCTGCCCAATCTGTTCCAACGAACTATTACCCACACGGCTACCACAGCACAGTTGCCATCATGATCTTCAACGATTTGTACTCGACACTCGTTCGATACGACGTAACATAACACTTGCCGATCGATTCTCGATTCGATACTTCTTCCTTTTCTTGGACTTCCCTTCTCTTCCTCTTCGAATTTCACCGTCACTAGGCGGTTTCGATAGACGCGCGACGATCCTGTCGCAGTGAAATTAAAATCTCGAACAACAACAGATCGAGGGCCGACTGATCTATGAAAATGTCACCGTGGCGGAATTGTCACTAGAAGAAACGATTACCAACGAAAATTGGCAACGCGACACGACGACGGAGATCGAGTAGAATCAGCTGAAGGAGGAAAAGAAAGGACAGATATCTTCGTGGGAGGTAGAACTCTTCCGGTAGTGTCTTCGTCCCGTGTGGTACGCGTGACGCACAGCGGATATTCTGCCGGCAACTTCTGGCGGCGAACAGTTCTCGATATATTAGCAACGTTCACGCGGCTCGCTCCACGTCCCCGTGTTGATCATTCCTCGCGTTACTTTTTCCCCATTTGTCAACACGAACGAGGGAATAGAATGGACGTGGGTTGCACTTGTCGGAGGGGGGAAAAAAAACCGATGAGTGACAGAGGGCAACGACGTTGAGGTATCTCTCTCGCTTGGAGTCTCTTCGAACGGATCATTCAGAGGGTAAAATCGTCTTCACGTAACAATCTTGCACTTTGAGGTAACGGTCGTTCGCTTCGCTCTGTTCCGTGTGTACGAACGCGCGCGTGTCACCGAGTATTACGGAGGAGCCAGAAGAGGGGAAACAAAACAAAAAAAAAAGACGCGAAACAGAGAATCGCTGAAGCGTATCCACGTTCTCCGCACCGAGGCTACGGTTGCCGGTGGCACACTGACTGACTCGGAACCGGGGTAGCCCGCTAGTCCAGACTCGTTCACTCACTACTCCAGACTCACACTCCAACTCCGAGCGCCGGACTCGCTCTCGCTCGTGTACACCGCACACAGTACTTACTCTCCGGCCGCCAGAGCCGACCGGCGTTCGGCACTTTCCGCCGGCCGACTTCGGCCCCTTTCGGCTTACACACCGCCTCGATCGGAGTCGGCGGCGGCTTCACGTACACACCGGCACCCACACACAGTCGCGGCCCGTCGCTCGAGATGCGCGGATGCGTAGCCTACCGCAATGTTCGAGTTGGTGTGATGCTCCCGCCCGTCCCCCGCCGCCGCACACATTTTCTGCCCTTTCCTCTCTTTCCATCTCTCCCTCGCCTTTTTTTTTCCCCTCCTTTTTACCACCTCTTTACCCCTATCTTCGTTCTCTCGCTTCGTGTCTTCTCTTTGCCCTTCGAGCAAACAGTCTCGTGCTTCTTTCTCTCTTTCTCTTTCTACTCTGTCATGCGTTCTTCGCGATGAAAAGTTATTTTCCGTCTATTGGGATAGGACACACGAACAACCCAGCCCGACGGACGCGTCGCTTCTCACGACATTAACCTTCGATCGTCGTCTGCTGGAAACAGCGGGCGTCGACGTGAAATACGAGTTGCTTTAACTTCTTGCGCTAGTAACTGGTTCGCGCGGACCATAAAGAGTGACCAAGCCGTATACGATAACTCGTCTTCTTTTTGACTTCATCGGTAGATCGCCGGATAGAAATTATTAAGAAGTGATAAATTTATTATTCGTTTTGTCTAGATTATATTTCAATATACTTAAAATTGAGAAAATATACCAATTTTGGGCCAAATATTCTCAAAGTGCGCTCAACCTCTTGCGCTAGTATCTGGTCCGCGGACCATAAAGAGTGACCAAACCGTAACGATAACTCGTCTTCTTTTTGACTTCATCGGTAGATCGCCGGATAGAAATTATTAAGAAGTGATAAATTTATTATTCGTTTTGTCTAGATTATATTTCAATATACTTAAAATTGAGAAAATATACCAATTTTGGGCCAAATATTCTTGAAGTGCACGCAAGAGGTTCACTTTTTCTTAGAACAGCTCGCTTGATGCCATTTGTAGGACTCGATCGTTCTTGCGAGGATTCTGTCACAACGAGACGATCGTGCCGTTTATTTCGAATAAACAAAGTGTGCAAATCCGTAGATACGTGGCCCACGGTATGCGCGAGAGCGTGCTGCAGCCAGACGTTTCTTTCTAATCCCTGACATTGTGTTTCTCGAGCGGCGAGGAGCAACAGCACGGGTCTCGCCAGAGTATAGGAAGAACCGGGGAGAACAGAAACGAGACTGGAACGATTGCGTATGCACGGTGTACACAATAGGTGAACGTGCGTACGAGGTCGCGGCGGAAAGGAACTTCCAATTCCGACGTCTCTCGTTGCAGCCGGTAAACACAGGTGCAACGAAAACGTCGGAAGTGTTTTTGCAACGGGTCATACAGAATGAACCTTGAGAGTGACCGATTTCGTAATCCCTCTCTCGACGATCTGGCGTTGGTTGCATTGTAACGCAACCCAAAAAACGATCTCTCAGATCTTGTTTATCGAGGTCACGGATCGTTATCGTTAATCGTTCTTTCCACAATCAGGTTACGTCTGCTCCTTCCTCTTTTCTTAATTTCTTAATTTCTTGCATTATGAGTTTATTTAAATAACTTAATTTATATATATATTTGAAGTGTAAAACGTTTCGTTAATTATCGATCACGAGAAATTATACATTTTTAAATCATCAAATTGTTGTTCTGAAAAATCAATTTGCAAGAAATAATCCTTATGAATATTTCGTAGAATTTTCTGAAGATAAAATTAATCAGTGAAAAGGATCGTGGAAATGACGATGAGCACACCACCCGCCAGGACGATTTCGAGACTTCATCCTAGAAACGTAACGAGCCGCGTACGAAGGGCCTCTGTTCGCCAACCAGGGCCACTTGGATCCGTATCCCCGATAAGTGAAAACGAGTTGGCCTTAATTGCATTTCCTGCCGTCGAACTTACGACTGCATTGTTGCCGAAAAAAACATTTTCCGCGGATTTCACGCGTCGCGATCAACGACTCCGCGGAACAAGATTATACCAACGAGGAATTCGTACAGAATCGCCGATAGTCGTCGATGCATTTGCATTGAAAACACACCGACGACTGTTGCGATAAACTCTTTCGTCAGATTCTCACTTCTACTTTCCGTTGAGAGTTTTCTAAGATTATCTCTGATTCGAGTTTACGCTAATTCGTCTTCACGTTCACGATCGAAATCGACAGCACGGTTTGCCTAACTCGTCGTTTCTTTTCCCTATCGTTAGAAGATCTTAAACGAAGAAATGGAAAAGAATCCCAATTTTCCTCGGGTCAACCGCCGTCAATCGATTGTTAAACTCTCGGATAAGGTCGGATAAAGTTTCGTTTTATCGTCGTTTGCACAGTGACGGCTACATGTCAACGAGTCTTCCATGAAAATTCAGCCAGTGAGTTTCAAAGGTAATCTAGAAATTCGTCGTTTTGTCCAAGTTTCGTCCAACTTTGAATTTGAATTCCACGAGACGAGAGAACGTTTGCGAAGATTATCTGTTCTTATCTAAGAAATTTGCTACAGCCACAGTCGGTGAACGTTCGTATCTGCGTTAGAGGGTAGAAACTGCACCTCGCTATCCTCGATTTGTCGTCGCGATGCGGAGTTACCGCGAAGCCGGGGACAGGCTAAGAGTTATTTTCGCGCAAAAACGGCCGACATCGCTGGCCTCGGAGAGAAAACCTCGTAACTCTCGCCGATCTCGGAACGGGACGACGCCCAATCCAGGAAAAGTACGATTTCTAATCCATCACCAAGACTCTACGGTTCACGTTCTGCGTTCTACGTTCGGCTACGCGGTGAAACATCATTTTTCTACCCCTATATTTTCGTACGCACAAAAGAGACCTTTCATCTTAAAAATAAAGGTTGCGTTGTTTTTGTAAAGGCATTTATGACTTTCAGTTCTATTTATTGCAATGAAATTTGACGATATTTCATTAAAATCAAACACGTTAATAAGTTAATTTAAAGCTTTAAATTAATGAATGAATTCGTATGAATCGTTCCGTAATTCTTCCCACAATATTTTTTTCGCGATATTGGTTTGCAAGGTATGCAACATAACCTGTATATACTGAACACGTGAATTAATATTCAATTTTATAGAAAGTTGCAGAAACTCTCGACGATTCTTTCGATCGCAATTTAACTTCAACGAAATCCTACACGCGCATCTTGTCCTTTGCCCGAGTGTAGACGCGGACAGGATCGAAAGTAGGCTGAAAAGAAACCCCGTAAAAATTTCTTCGCGGAGAAAAAGTCGTTTGAATAATATCTCTCCTCTCTCTTTCTACGCAACGATTCACTTGCGAACGTGCAGGTTTCTAATGAAAAAACGCGATCTCGCGTTCATCTAGCGCGAATTCGTAGCGGGTCACTTTCGTTTTCGCGGTCCGCGTCTCCCCCTCTGTCGATTTTGCTTTTGTTCCACGGCACGATTTTCCACCGGTCGACGTGTCGCGTTCTCTTTCCTCCGCTTTCTATCGCGCGAGATATAAAGAACGATTCATCGAACGCCTTTCGATCCCAAACGTTACCTTACCTCGTCAAACGTAATTCCGTCTGTTCGATCGGGGGAGAGACGGCGCATGCAAGAGAAAAGAAAAGACGCGAACAAGCACGCGTCCGGACGAGCTGAAAGCGGGGAACGACGAAAGAGAAATTTCCTTTTTTGCTGAACGCGACGTTTCCTGTCCCAAGCGAAGAAAGTGTATCTAGGCTTCTCTTTTTTTTCCTTTTCCAACCGCGTGTCCCCCTGCAATTAGAATATCCAGCGTGGGCGCTTCGATTAAGCGGCAGCGTGTTTCTACTGACACGCATTTCGTTTCTATCGTTATCCCGGCTGTGTCAGAGATTTAGACAGCATCTCGTCGAGTCTCTCGAAGTATTCTGACAATTTGATATCGTTCGTTCGAGAAAAGAGAAGACGCGGAAAGCGAAATGAGACCGTGAGTCTCTCTAAATTTTCACGTAACTTTCGTTCGAGACACGCGAGACGACGGCGGCGTTTTAATTTCTCGTTATTCACCGGCCGGAGCGCCGGAGGTGAAAGAGACGAGGAAGAGGTATTAGCCGACGATTCAGGCCGAGACTAACGCGCACTTTTCCCCGGCTGTACGACGTTTCTCTCTCGCACTCTCCACGTTGGCGCTTCGACACGGATGATTTCTTTCGCGCGCGTTTCTTCCTTCCTTCGAAAAAAAACGGCGGTAATTTTCGCGTGGTGATTTTCTGACGAAGATTCGAAACGATGGACGCGTGGTTGTCGTTTCGACTCGATTAGAATCAAGAGGAGCCGAGCGGTGAGAGAGAAGGTGGCCGGTTCTCTTCGCGGCCGGTTGCCATGCCGAACGAGCCTGCGCCGCGCTCCAAGTGCCAGAAACCGTGAAGGAGGCCTCTCGTGATCGGGACTTTCCAAGGACACGAGGGTGCATGGATCCGTGGCGTGTGCGTGCCGGCTGGTTTTCCTTTTCACGGCGAAAATCACCAGCGAGAAAGAAAAATCAGCGTGACGCGCGACGGAGGCGCTGTGCCAGCGAAATCGCCGCCACGTTTCATATAACGCACAACAGCCGGCTATTACGCCGATTTTCCTATCGTGTGTACCTTTTTCTTCACGCGCCAGACGAGTCCACTTTCTTCATCGTCTCTCCATTCGAAACCTACGAAAGTACAATCGACGGAGAGAGATAAGCGAAAAGGCCGGTGTCGAATTTAGGCAGCCGCGTTTCTGATCAACTGTTTTCCTCCCGTTTCCACGATTCTTTGGAACCATCGACGGTGAAACGGAGAGCTTGCAAATAGCTCAATCTCGGCGCAAGGAACACCAAATGTAGAAAAACGAAGAAAAAAAAAAAAAAAAAACGAGAGAAAGTCGAAGTAGAGGAAGACGAGGAGGAGCGAGGGAAGGGAGTAAGGGAAGCTACGGAGAGGCAAGGCATTAGGAGGAGGAAAAAGGGAAGCAAAGAGGTAGACGAGGAGGACGAGCACGAAGACGAAG